TATGTATAAGAAATACATATTCAGTTTAGGAAAATGTTAACATCTAAACTGCCTCTATATTTTGACCATACACTGTGTTTTGTCATAATGCAGACATGTAGTGCCTCTTTGCCATTCAAGCAGTTGTTTGTGATGTTCTTGTAAATGTGTAGATTCACCATGGCATATCCCAAATTCATCTGCCACAGTGCATGTCAGTAATGTTTTCTTTGTGAAGGAAAGCTTTTTCAGTTGCTTTATTGATTCTCTTGGGGCATATCAGTCCACTGGATGTGAGTCAGTAAACTATATCCAAGGTAGAGGGACTTTGGAAAAACTTGCTTCATTTCAAACTGCCAATACTGTTCACTTATTCATAACACTTTGGCATCACAAATCTTTCATTTAACTTCAGTCTGAAAGCAATAAGCTTCAACAAATGGTGAACCCTGTTGAGACTTATGAACATGACCACATGGGGGAGATGGCATTTGGGGCATTTTGCTCTGGGCCCCCCAAAATATAACTTATTTTTTAATAAAACTAAAAAAAGAGGAGTAGACCAGAGAGTTTTCTTTGTTTATGAAAAACAAAGAATATGAATAATATAAGAAAGTACCCTCTAAAATGTAAACAATTGGCATTTGGTGTGGTGCCAGCTCAGAGGTGCTTTCCCTGGAATTTTTTAAGCCATGATAATTTGAATAAAATTACTGCACATGCTAATTAATTAAGTTTCAAAACAATTTCATACAACATATATAAGGTCCTATAATATATATATGTATGTATATGGAGGGAACCTCCTAATTTTAAGTTTGCCCAATTGCTAGAACTAAGAAACAAGACCAATGCATATGAAGATATGTATGAATCCAGCATTCCATTCTGTGACAGAAATGACCTTAAGGGTGTATTGTTTCTTAAAGTTTGAGTATGCAGGAGGGAAAGAATGGATGATAAAGTGACCGAGTTATGAGAAAAAAAGAGAAGTTTAGATTCAACACCTTGCTTAGTCTTGATACAGCTGTAAACTGCATGAACAAATGTTTTTCATCTTAATGACAAATTTCATGTCAGGTAGACTTAACTCTGAAATACTAAAAGCTTTTTCCAGTTTAGTTGCTGTCGTACTGTAAACAACCATGTGACTTCATCTTTCAAATGTTTTGATGCAATGTACTGTTTAAGTACTTTTTAAAATTAATTTTAATTATAAAAATGTAAAATTTGTCAGAGTTTACTTCAATGAATCCATTACAATTCTTTGAATGAGAAGGGTAGCTGCTTAAAAATGCTTTTCATGTGTGTGCTGACAGAAACATTTTAAGTAAAGTAACTTTTCAGAAAGAGTATGCGAGTTCATCAAGACTTATCCAAGGTTAGCAAAATGTGAAGTTAAGGGTGCAGAGGTGCAACATTGTCCAGTATTAATCTATGCCTCCTACCAGTCAGTCTTCCAACTTCTTGACAATTCTGGACCATGATCTGCTTTCCCAAATCTGTTTGAAATATATAAAACTCTAACGACACTATCAGTTGGCTTGATTAAATGTGGTTACTGCTCCTCTAAACTGAAGTTCATCAAGACCCGTTTGAGTTCTGCTATATTATCTGAACAGCTGGCTTCCTTAATATGAGTGCTGTAAAAAAGATTTCTAATTAGACTCAGATAAATTATCCCAGTTCAATATTTTCAGTAGATATTGTTTCTATAAACCTTAATTTTTAGGTTATGTACTGAGGGTTTATGCTGCGATTTAAATAATGATTTATTATTCAACTGTTGTACAATCCCACAGTTTAACAATGAGCCTCTTTGACTTGCTTTTCAGTAATATGAGAATTTCTTGGATTTATGTGTAACATGTTTAAGTTTTTTTTAAAGACGTCTTATCCAAAAGATTGCATATAGCCTATGCTTTCTCCCCCCCTCCCCTTAACACTTTACCCCTGTGTACAAAAAAACAGCATTTGTTTACACAGTGATTATAAATTTTGCAGTTCAGTGTGTAATGACATGATCCAGAAAGGTGAAATGACACAGATATCACATGTGGCCATCAGGGGCACCACTATGACCTAATGTCTGATCAGTCAAACTGTTCCAAATGTTCTCCTGCAGCATCCAGAATGTAGTGCATTATGTGATAATGAATATTATAGCTACAATGCACATTTCATATAGAATGCTGGTCACGTCCAAGATTATTGCATTCTTGAGGTATAGAATTTTGAGGTTTCCCACGGTACACAAGCAACTTCAGGTACCCCCACAACCAGAAATTAGCTAGTGTTAGGTTCAAAGAATGAGGTGGCTATTCACAAGGAAGGTGACGTGAAATAGTTTTGTCCTTAAAGTGCTCCCACAAGACATGTCTCACATGATTACTAATATGCAGAGGGACACTATCCTACCTGATAACTGTATCACATTTCATTGTTGCAGCATTAACTGTACAGATTTAATTGCAGTTTTTGTGCCGATGGTTCTTCAAAAAAGTATGATTTAATAACAAAGTCAGCTGTGAAACCACATTGTCACCTTATTATCATGGAATTGCATAAGAAATGTTACATGTGGATTAGTTTCTGCCCAGATAAAGGAGTTACACGTGTTGAAACTTCCAAAAAAAGATGAAGTGTGCTTCATCAGCCCGTAAGATATTGGTAAGCCGTTGGTCATCAATACCCAGTCTTGCTATGAACTGCAACACCAAATCAACATGTGTTAAAACTGTATCCTTCAGTGCTTGAACATAATGTAACTTGTAAGGAGACATTTGCAAAGTTGACCAAAGAACAACAAATGAACAATTGAAATTGGCAAATTTTAGACTTTTTCTGCTTTGGCATGGCCATCCTCAACAACAGCTTCAGTATGTGTTGACGGTCTGCTTGTATGTAGCTTATCACAAATGCAACCTGTCTCCTCAAATTTTTTTATGAACTTGCCCACAGCAACATTGGAACAAGACCCTCTTTGTATTTTATCACTCTATGGAATTCCCCGAGAGCTGAGTCGGCATTGTATCCTATGGTGTAATAGCATTTAACTAGTGCACTTCTCTTCACACTTTAAAGTTTCATGTACTGTGGTCAACAGGCCTATTTATACTTCTAGGAAATATTCAAAATAAATCATAAGGATGCCCCTAGTGGTAACATGTTTCAACTGTGAAATTTGAATTTGCATAATAACCTTAATACTCCTGTGCAATTTCAACTTACAATGCCATATCATTTGTGAGATATGATCAACTAAGTCACAGTTTTTTTCATAAACACCTTGTACATTTCCACTACTATTATTATAGTTTGAAATCAAATGAAATCTATACAGATGTGTACGCTTTACAGTGTTTAAAGTTATATATCCCTAAGTCTGTAACATATAATTTTAAGTCTTACTGACTTGTTCACATTCACAATTAATCATGATTAATGTAATAAAGTATTTGTAGTGATTTTACTGATTGATTACAGATTATCACATCTGACTCACTAAATCATTTTTCAGATTTTTACAGATCTTTTAATTGTCATTCCTGGGTCTCTAAAACTCAGAAAATTAATTGGTACTTTGGGCTTTACCTCAGGCCCCCTTTTCTGGCATGGGAGGGGGAACACCTCGCTAACCCCGTGAATCTCAGTTTTGTTAGAAATTTGGGAAGTCTCTGCCCAGCTCCAACTTACTTTTTTTGTCCTTCTACTCCATTGGCTCCTTTATTATTTACTAGATCTGGTTGATAAAGGTTATATGAACAGCATCATTCAAATTACGCTTATCTTTGAATATGTTAGCACTTCAAGCATCAGTTTATATAACATTTTCCAAGTAAATCAGAAATAGCAAAAACAGACACTCCACTGAAGAAAAACCCAAAGTGTATGCCCATTGCCAGAAAATCATTAATGAATGTACAGTTATATTTCTGTATATTATAATATCAAAGATCATTTAGCAGACTCCATACTTCTGGCCTTTTATTTGTTGTAGACAATGTTTCTATCTCAAAAGATTGTCATCTATGGTAACAGGTTATCAATTCAACTTACTATGGTATTTTTTGTTAATTAAACATTCACAAAGTGTGAAAGTAAATTTTCACAAGAATCACATTAACCTGTCAACTTTTATCCTTTGCTTAGATATTATTAAAGTATTTTTTACAGATGAAACCAATTGTAAAAGTTATAGTTTAAATGCTGAAAGCTAGTGAAGCATTGGAAACCAGTAGGCCTAAAAGTTGTTATAAAAATCCAGTTAAATCCAGATGTTTTTTCCTCACAATTTTCTTAGTTTATCTATGGTGGCTCAAAATCAGAGATGTGTAAAATTTAATTTCAGATCTTTCTCTCTCTTTTATTTTTTTACCACCAGTCACTGGTAAATACCAGAACTCATCAGTTAGATAGGATGAAGAGAGACAAAAGACTCTATGAAACACTATTTATATATGCAGTATCATACTTCAAAAATTTTTAGATTAAATGCCAAAAGCCAGCAATGTATTGGAAATCAGTAAGCATAAAAATTGTTATATAAATCAAGTTAACTGCAGATGTTTTTTTCCCCCATTCCTCTTAATTTGTCCATTATGGCCTTTGGTTTTCAATACTTTGCCAGCTTTCAGCATTTTAACCATAACTTTTAAAGTATTATACTGCATATATAAATAGTATTTTATGGAGTATTGTGTTTCTCATTGTTCAGCCCAATTGATGAGTTTGGGTATTGAATTAAAAGCTTTTTGGACAACAACTTGTGGGAGACAAAAGAAAGATCTGAAATGCTATATTTACACACCTCTGATTTTGAGCCACAATGGACAAATCAAGGGGAATGGGGAAGAATAAAACATTGCAGTTAACTTGATTTTTATAACAATTTTTAGGCTTCTTGGAAACCAACCTTAGCTTTGTTATAACTGTAAATTAGTAACAACAGAGTATTAATCAAATTTCAGATTAGGAGCAAATTGAAACTGATCATTTGCTTGTCTTATGCACATTCACAGGATGGAGAATCATGTTTTCAGTGGTAGTAAACCATTTTGCACAGATGACTCAGAATACTGCAATGACCTCCCAGATAAACCACCTCCAGTTCCACCCTTACCTAATTACTTTACAACCACACAAAATGTTGGAGAGACAGTAAGTTGAAGAGTTGAATATTAACAACCTGATTGCTTTATAATTTTGGTAATATGAAATACAATTAAAATGTTTATAAAATCAGTTTTCACCACATTCATATATACAATCCAAATTATTTTATTTCAGCTAGTTTTTGATCCACTTTGAAAGTCATCATCAAGGTGATGATGACTCCAGGATTTGGTCAATAACAACTTCAATAAAACATTTTGGATTACATATATAAATGTGGTGAAAACCTGTTTTTTAAGAATTTTCATTCTAATGCATTATTATATGTTTATAAAAACAAAGTATTCATATCTTGTTTTAAATTTGCAATGCAAAAGAATAAAATAATGCTGGTTGTGCATGTAAAATGTTTTAGAATTTAAACACAAGTTTGATGTAAGTATTACAAAATCTTATAAAATTACATGTAATTATAATTTCTGTTTATAGATTCTTTTTTTTTTATAGTTATAAATTCAGGACTTTTTGTAGGAAAGATAACAGATGATATAACTGCTTTCAACCAATCAAACTTAGAAATTTTAAGAATAAGTATTATGTTTTGTGATTAATATGGTAATAGTTACTTGATTTCCAATGCTTATAAACAGAAATATTTTCAATACTAATATATTCTTTCATTTAGAAACAAATTTTATTTTAAGTTTGTTTAATTGATCTTTGACATGGTATTAAGTGTTTCAAATAGAGTCATTACTTATTAATTAATAAGAGCATACTTTTAAAATCTCTTACATATACCATACAAATAGTTTGCTAGAGTGAAATTTTATATTTAAACATGAGGAGATTGACTGAGCTACTCACTATATAAGATATAACATCTCATTAAATTTTTTATCATTCACAGCCAGTACATTATTCATTAGTCAAAAAATCTCCATTATCTTCTGCTCTTAAATATTCAGTAAGCCAGTCAAGGCAATCTACAAGGTCAAAAGAGAAAGAGAACATTGCTTCACATGATGTTGTAGAGTTTGTACAGAAAAAATCTCCTCTTCTTCTTCCCAAAAGATCCAAGCCAGGTAAGGATTGTAATTAGAAATGGCCTCTTTAATTTTTTCAAGCTTTCAGTAATGGTGCTGTTTATTGGCCTGATTATAGACCGATCTTGAATATAAGGCAACCCCCATTATCAGAAACCATGGGGGAAAAACAAATTGAGTGTCATAATGTCCTTTTTTAATTTGGCAAAATCAACTATAACTGAACAGCCTGCAAGTGGATTAGTTGCAAGAATTGGTGATGATCTTGAGTAAACATCTGGCGTGCATGCATAGATGGATGCTTTCTGGACATCCAGGAATGCAACAGGCTAGATTAGGGACAAATAGCCTGTGGTCAGCCATTATTATAAGCTCTTATGAATTTTACAATCTAATTATTAATAAAAAAACATTGCTTTATAATCGGGCCAATGCATTATAAATATTAATCTTTTTCAATTTTCAAACATACGAAATGAGATTGTTTAACCCTAGAATTACCAGTAGGGTCTATATAGATCCCACCTGTGTTTGAAACACATTTTTCTAAACAATTTATGTCATGACTTCACAAGTAGTGAATGGTCTAGAAACAAATTGGTAATTACAGGGCTAAAAACAATTTAAAAGGTACAGATTTTGTTCATTTTTATTGTTATTATAAGTAGAATAAATGATATTTTAATAAAATCTTGAAAGGGCAGCACCTGCTGGAAGTATTAAATGGAAGTATGAATGATATAGGGATCAAATTGATGTTGGAAATCTTGGAATCTGAACAGTCTCACAATAGTTATTCTGTCCATTTAGAAGTCCCCAATATTATTGCTTTATTACTGAAAATAGAAAATAGTTTCTGTATTTATTTATTAAGTCAGATGTGTTTGCACTAAAGCTATTTAAATAGATGGTGACTAGCAGCCATTAATGCTTATAAATAGGTCCTGAGCCAGGAAAGGTTGAGAACTACTGTTGCATACCATTAAATTAATTTATTATGGGTATCATAAAAAACAATACAATAAATGAAATAGAAAACCAGTTTGGATAACTTTACCACACTGTTCAAGCAAGTGGTTTTTGGAAGTACAACATAGGTTATTGTATGTTTTCAACGTCATTCCAGAAACCAATAGCAAGAAATGCTGCAAAACTTGTGATTGCAGCAAATCAATGTTTCTAACTGTACAGGAGGTTAGCAGAATCCATACTATAATAAATTGATGACTTAACAATTCGTTGAATTCAATCATTTATAATGTTTCACCTTCTAATGCATAGCTGTTATAAACCACAGTAGAGAGATCAACAACACAGGGAGTTGCAAATTGTTAGCTCCCCAGTGGCACAGCAGTATGTCTGTGGATTTACAATGCAAGAAATCTGGTTTCGATACCTGTGGTAGGCAGAGCACAGATAGCACTTTGTGCTTAACTTCAAACAAATAAGCAAATTGTTAATTTTGTTGGTCCTTTCTGAGATCTTCATTATATCTTCCTGATGAAATTCACTATAATCATATACATGATATTTCAAGAATCCTGTCTCCCAATAAAGGTTTGAGTAGAAAATTTTATATTCTGTCTACATAAATGTATAGATAAAATGTATTCATGAAAGGTTCCACTTGATATGTTGTTTTATATGTTAGATACCATACGAGTTAAATAAGCAAAGAATTTCAGACTTAAGTAAAATTTGTTAACTTTTTTTCTCCCAATAGAATATGTGAACACTACCATAAGTACAGAAAATAAAGGTGGTAGTAATATAGGTTCAGTATTTACATCATTGTCCTTCCCTCAAGAACTTCATACATCCAGGGATGCTTTTGACATGCGTAAGTATTAAAGATAAAGGGAATTCTAAAGAGCATTTCACAATATTTTTTGTCATTAGAAATTTAAGAGCAAAAATACATCATTAAAACTGGTAAGTATACAGTTAGTGTTTTAAACTTTTTCAGACAGACTATAGTTTTAGGAGCATGTTTTAGAGCAGTTGAGTAGTGATATAATTTCTAAATAAATGCTAACTACTTAAATTCATTATCACCTTATGTCAAGAAAATATTACAAGGGCTCTTAATATTACCTGACAAGTCCCTCACAAAAACATCAGATAAGGAATTGGAAAAATCGCAAAGTTGTATTTGGAAAAGTGTCAGGTGTCTAGGTCAGGAAAACTACCAGGTCAGTTCAAAATTAGGGAGAGCATTAGATATTTATAGATCTTGAAATATCCATAATATTTCACGAGAAAAATAGCTTATCTGAGAAATCATTAAAGTAATTTAGCATGTGATGCTAAAACTAATTTGTCTTGCCAATATCATCAGTAAGCTTGAAGAGAATAACTTTAATATTTCCTACTATAGTTCTTTTGCATTCACTCCTTTTATTTTTTTTACAGATATTTTCTTATATAGGGGAAACATGTATGGTCGTTTTTTATCATGTAGTGTTATTTCTCACTGAATAATACCTCAAAAGTGGGAATGTCTTTGAATTTTAGTTTTTAGTCAGGATTGTTTCAACATTATAGCAGTTAAATGCATGGTATCTTATAAAGTAAGTTAAAATGAAGTCAAGTTCTATTACTGAAACAATAAGTTTATATGGAAACAACTTTGACATTTTATGAATCCTTTTCAGTCTAAAGTTTGCTTGTCACAAAATTATACACAGACCTTATTTTAGAGCAGAAGTTCCAAGTTGTTGATTCAGGACATAAGACATTAGGAAGTGGTTCAGCTTAAATTGACTTTCAGAGGTGTTAAAGTTTGGCAATTTTTGGATTAGTGAGCTTTCCACAATTCTTCTACCAAGATGATAACTTACCTCTGCATACAGAAATGCCATTTTCCTTGTACGTCTGCCTATGAGATTTGCATGCCACTAGCTTTGAGCTAATTTCCATCTAAATTCACGTGTTTAATGTGAACTGCACTGGTGTGTTATGATGTCATCATGCAACAATAGCCATCCACCAATAGGAGAGCGACACAACCTCTATGCACAGCTACTCCCCTTATGCACTTGCTCTCGTGATAACTTCATTATTTTCTTTTGCATTGCATTGAATAAACTTGTTCAAATTTTTCTTCTTAGTTCAATTTAATGAGATTTGCATTTGCTAATAAAACATTGTGTTTTGTTTTCTTTGGTTTTTGTTTCAAAAGCTTTAATTCTTTTCGTAAATTATCAAGAGATGGTGACATCAACTTGTTCTTTGTAAGTAACAAAGTTACACACACAGGCCCTATTTCTACTATGGCTTCTGGAGGCTTGTTAACTATTGGAGATGTTACAGCCTATGTTCAACATGTTGTGGATTACTTCATGTTTAATAGGCCTCCTCCTCCTGTCCCTACAGCCAGTGTTCTTTCTCTTAGTTGTGAGTGGCTAGTTGGATAGTGATTTTAACCTGATTTGCTTTGGGTAACATTTTACCAATGTTGGAATGTCCTCAACCTTCCAAACTATTTCTGGTTGTGCCTTCTCAGGTATGTTCTTTTCATTATCTTTTGCCTATGTCCTTTACTTTCCTCTTCTTTATTCCATGAACCCAACTCTCAGGTTTACCTTGTTGATCTTTCCTCCCTTGCTTGATATTAGGGTTATACTCTTTCCTTTCTTGAACATATCCACAGTTGCGTTCGTGACTTTTTTTGTCCTGACATACAACCATTATTCCTTTCCTTTTTGAAGATTTCCTGTTTTTGGAATCTCTTTTACTTGCCTTCTACTTCACTCTCTAATTCACTTTTCATCGTTTTCTCACCATCCTTCTATTTACTTCTCCCTCCACCTTTTGTCAGGGCCACTTCATTGCGCTCAAGTTGGGTTCTCTGGAGAGGTTCGTTCCCTTCTCTCTGACCCCTGTTGTCTGTTCCCCTTCTTCTACTATGTCCCTCCTTACTTGGTACCTCTGCTGTTGGGGCTTATTGGGTCTAGATACACTCCTCATTAATGTACACTCTCCTTCTTCGTGCATATGTGGCCTTCTTTGGGCTCCTCTTCTTCATCTGGAAGTCTTTGGTGGTTTTCATGTTTCACTAGAGACCTAGACTGAAGGTACATGACTTCAGTCCTCATTATCATCCCACGTTTTTCATCTTTTGCAACCCTGTCCTTCAACTCGTGTTCCTCTACTGGATCAGTCTACCCCTACCCTGCCCATTCTGACTTCTAGTCCTTCCACTTTTCTTCATAATCCTGTTACCCAAAGCTGGTTCATCACTCTTCTTGTTGGTGACTATTCTGTCGAGTTGAGCCCAGTGGGTACCTGTCTTTCTTTCTTTGCCATTCATTGGTCTCGCCTTTCTGCCAACAGACAGATTTTTTTATGTTCTCTCACACCACTTTTCTTCTCTTTGCTCCTCTCTTCCTATTTTCTTTTCTTTTCACTTCAACCCAATCTGTCTTTGGCATCTTAAGAATGAGATATTGAATTATTTGGCCAAACATGCAATTGAGAGGATGTATGCCTCTTCTTCAAGTTTTTCCTCTTGCCTCTTTGTGATCCTCAAGATAATGAGGGACAAACGTTCAGTGATCAACTCATCGTGTCACAACCAATTTCTGATCGTTCCACCATACCTTTCTTTCTAAGAGGTCTTTTTCACCTGGTCTGTGGATAACCAAAGTTTATGTGTCAGACACATTCTGATTGCTCTGTCCTCCAAATATTTCTACCCTTCAGCCATTAGAATTCCATCTTCCAATTCCATACTCTTCCCTTTGATATAGCATTGGTACCTTATATATTCAAATATCCAAGTCCTTTCTCACGTACACACAATATTTGCTACAACTGGGCATTTTCTTTCACCTTGGAATGTCTAGTCAATAAGATTTGCATTTCTCATTCTCATCCTGTGGGTTCCCTGGAGCCCCTCATTCCTTTGGGGTGCACAAACATGTGCCTCTCCCAATTGACCTTAGAAGACCAATGGATTCCTTCTTGGGATCCATCATCCACAATTGTGAACTCCCCCTTTCCTTTTTGTGGGTTCTCTGGAGCTCCTCATTCCATTGTGGTTCACACACATGTGCCTCCTCCTCCAATGAACCTTACAAGACCAATAGATTCCTTCTTCGCATCCACTGTCCTCGATTGTGAACTTCCCTTCTCCTTAACTCGAGGATTTATCATGGTGGCTAGACTGTGCCCATACTACATTTGATATTCCCTTCCCATACTCCAGACCAGTTCTCAATCTCTTCACTGGTATTTCCCTTTCGGGGTTGGATGTATCTCTTAATGACAACATGACCCAGGATGAGAGTTCACTTCACATTAAAATGTTTGAACTTCTCACTGTTTCATTGGGCAATTTTTCATTTCCTACCTTTTCTGACAGTTCAATTGTTTATGATCTACTCTGACAATTCCATGGTCATTTCTAACATCAACCATCTAGGGGGTACACATTCATGGACTCTTTCCCTTTGTGTGTTAGACCTTCTCTTTCGGGCTCATTCCCATCAAATCTGTCATGTTGCTTGTCATGTACTGGGAGCTATGTACTGTATTCTTTTATTGGGCTCATTCTTGGCTAGGCACACCTCTTATGGCCACCTTTGCCACCACTCTCAAATCTAATCTTCCTCTCCTCTAGTCCCCTGTTCCTCATCCTTTGGCTCTGCATGTCAATGAACTCAGCTGATCCTGGTATCACGATTTTCTATATGCTCATCCCTGTCTTTCACTCCTCCCTCAGGTCCTTGCCTTGCTACATGACACTCCTTGTTGAGTTATCCTGATGGCACCTCTTTGGCCAGCTCAGCCTTGGTTTCCTTTGCTTCTTCACTTAGTGTGCAGACCCCCCTTACTCTACCCAATATCTCCTCTCTATTGTTTCAACCACATATGTACCTTTTTCATCAAGGGATATTGTCCCACTACCTTCATGTGTATGATTTGCCTAGTCCATCACCCATTGGAATGGACTCTCCAGTTGTGTAGCTTTCCTCTTTTCACATTCCTTTTGCTGTTCTACTTTCTCTGTCTACCAGTGTCTTTTATCATTGGTCATCAGCCGCTCCCTTCCTTCTGGCAGTTCTACTTTGAACCACCTCTCTGCCTCTTTTACTTGACTGTTTGACTATGATTTGTTAGTCTCCACCATTGCTTCTTATTAGGTGGCATTGAACTCTACATTTTACCTTTCTCAGTACCACAGGCTGTTTTCTTCCCCTGTCTTCTCCACTCTATTCCACTTCTTCCTTCTTTGCTGATCTCCTTGCCTAATTCCCATGCTAGGGTAGGACTTTAATATGGTTTTGAATGCTCTCATGCATGCCTTATTTAAGTCGTTGGCTTCTTGTACCACCTTTCTCTCAAGGCTTATTTCCTCTTCCTTCTCATCTTCCTGGTCACCATCGTTCAGATGTTTATGCTATTGATATTTCTCCCACCCTCTTCCACCATTCATATATAATCCTCAATCTGGACCAGTCTTTCCTTCCTAAGGCTTCTGCTGCTTGAGAAGGTAACCATACTTTCTCTACTATTTTCCTTCCTTCTTCCTCTCATCTCTGTCATTCAGATCCAGCAAGATCAGCTTTTTTGTTCAGTTTGGTATTACTTATCACTGACTTGTTCCTACCCTGGGACCCCTCTTCTTCCAGGGAACTATCACCTTCCACCTTTACTGGATGGGTCCATCAACACCTCCAGTTGGTATATTCTTCCCTGGATTTGGATGCTTGCAGGCTATTTCATATTTCTTCCCATCAAATTTGCCATCTGTCTCACTTCCTTGCTTCTAGTCTTTGCCAACCTTTGGATGAGACCCTCCAGGCAGGCATTGGATGATTCCCCATGTTTATCACTCATTATCTTCATCATCTGGCTGTTTCATCTCCTGCAGAATTTCGACTTCCTATGATGACCATTCTCCAATCAAACCACCATCTTTGAGATGGGTAACTATGTTTTTTTCTTTTCTATTTTTTTTTCTGTCACTCAGGATCATGCCTGGTGGCTGGTGTTGCCTCCCAGGGTATATGTATTTCTCAAAATCTACTTTGGGCCAGGGGCAACAGAAAGCACTCAAAACACTCATCTTGGCTCAATCAGTGCCCACTGCAAGATGGAGTGTTCTGCAAAACTACTAGAGGTATACTAGCAGTGTATAAATTTACTAAGTTATCTGATTCATACCATACCAATTCCATAGACTGTCATGGAAAAAGCTGGCAACAGGGAAGTAATTGGCCACTTCTTTGTCTTGCACTTGCCCACTTTTCAAACAGAGTTACACAGTCACCCATTGCACTATTTCTAGTAAAAGACCTTTCTGGCTGTTTTTCTGTTGGGGATCCTGATATGTCTTCAGATCTCCTCAGTGTGAATTGTCCTCCCTGTTCTTCAAGTGGAACATGAGAGACCTTGCCACTTACCAATTTCTTAGTGTTGGGGTGGTGGACTATGGAGAATTCTCACCAATGAGCTTAGTGTAATGCAGTGAGAAGTAGGACAGTGGTGACACTGTAAGCATAGGACAGGTCACCTCTCACACAGCTTATGTGCCCTTTTGCAGCTAGAGTGTCTGGTAGAGTCATGGTGAACATACACTGTATGGTCTGATCATGCCCTAACCACACTATTGGCTCACCAACCATTTGCATGCAGATACTCAGCTAGTCATGATCACATTCCGCCCAACCCTGCAACTCTTCATGCTGTTTTGCCTTTCATTTCTCTTAATCTCAGTCAAAGAGTATACCTTGTTTGAAATGAGATGCAGTCTCCCATGGGTGTGCCTCTATGAAGCCCCTTCCATCAGGTATCACACTCCATAGGCTTTTCTATTGGGTACTTTCTGAAGGGATCTCATCTGGGTTTAAAATTTTGCACTGGCCCATCCACTACTCCAATGTGGGATTCTAGCATTTCTGTGTGAAGAGGTGAGTTATTATCTCAGAAATCTGAAAATGTATATCTGATGGATACTCACCTCCTCATACATTCCCACATGGCTTCTTCACTTATGGTGCACTTCTGTTTTTTCTTGCTTCCTATAAAAATGAAGTCATCACAAGTGTAAGTGCATATGGGGAGTTACTGTGCATGAAGGCTATGTCTCCCTCCTATTGGTGGAGGGCTATTGTCATATGATGATGTCATCATGCACGAGCACAGTTCATGTTAAACAAGTGAATTTAAGTGGAAGTTAGCTCAAGGCTAGTTGCATGCAAATCTCATCGGCAGATGCACAAGGGATATAACATTTCTGTTTGTGGAGGTGAGTATCTATGAGAAATATATTGTGAGATTAGGAAAATGTTAACTTTTGACATAATTTCTAGTTTTATGTGTTATTCTGGCTAATTTCCAAATACAAAGGAAATCTCCTGGTTCCTGTATGCAGATGACATTTTCTGTTTGTACAAATAATAGACATGATTTTCAAGCCCTTTTTCAGCAGATTAACAAGCTTCACAGAGCTATTAAGTTTGAAGTTTCAAGAAAACCAATAATTTACTCTCGTGTTGGACTTTCTTATAGCTAGAGCAGAAACAGTACGTGTTCTTTCTATCTATAGAAAACCAACAAATCCTTTAAGCTATATTCTCTTTTTTCTCATGCTATCAACAAATGGATAAAACATCAATCATAACTTCAGTGACCCTTAATAAAGAAATGAAAAATATTTATACAGTTTTTCTAACAGATAAGGTATCTTTTAGGTTTTATCACCAATGGCCATCAAAAAGCAAAAAAAAGACATTTTTAAAAATAACAACAAACAACCAACACCATTTATATATATAAGAAAAAAACAACTTAGTGTCACATACATAGAGAAATGCCTTTAAAACATTTTTAATGTCGTTTATAAATATCTCATTTTAAATTTCTTACACTTGAACAAGTCCACATCTATAGACAAAGATCATGGTGTATATAAAGTACCATGCCAATCCTGCAAATAGTTTGTTACTAAAACAGGGAGAAGTTTACATATCAGAAAAAGGTCAAACAGATAATGCTGTTTATCTAAACAGTGTTTTGATCCATCAAATCAGCTTAAATAATACATAAAACTATAAATTATGTCACAAATAGCTGCAGTACCCATCCATTGGTAACAAAGGATAGGAAATTGTGCTTTTTTTTTCCGTAACATAATAAACATCAAAAGTGCAATAAAAATACACACCAATACTGAAAAGAAAGATATACAATTTTCAAGAATTTTATCAATATAAAATTAGATGGGGGTCCAACCCCTCTCGTGACCTTCTTGTATCACTGTGTCAAGTTGTGCTGATTGATCAAGAAATGTGGAAATGTATAAGGAACAGATACACACACACACACACATATTGATGTTTATTTATATCGATAAGAATTGTGGAAAGCTCTATAACCCAAAGATTGCCAGACTTTAACATCTCTGACAGTCATTTTAAACTGAACTCTTTTTTGATGTCTTGTACCCTGAAGTTGGAAGTTTTTTTTTTATAAGTTCTGTGCATAATTTATTCACAAACTAATGTTGGACTGATGAGGTCAAAACTTGTAGCCTTATAAACTTGTGTTCCATAATAGTGGATCTTAACTTCATTTTATTTCATTGTGTTTATATATAGTTGTGTTAATTTAGCTCGGATTATTAATCAATTTCTGTTAGGTTAAACATGTGTCTGGGACATTAAAATCTACAAAAGAAAGGAACGAGATACATAGAACCTTTATTCCTATATTTACACATAAATCTTCCCATTTTGTATTGTATCTAATATTACTTTAAACTATTTTCTTGTTAAAGATTTCTGTTCTCTTTTTAACATTTGTTAGGTAAGTTGAAATTAAAGAGTTCAAATCTGCAGATACAAAATTATAATGATGGAGTTTGGGCAATGTTGAAGAAATTTTACATACAAGACAAGTAAGCTTTATGTTTTTTAGTAAGACATATATCACATATTTTTTTGTTATTAACTTAAGTTCTGTGACATTTTTCAGAGTCACTTGGTAACAGTCTTCCATCAAACCCATATCCCCTCCCACCACTACCACTTCGTTGTGGATCCTTAGATTTTAACAAAACGTTTACTGATTCTTCATTAGAATCTGTTTCACCTGCCATCCTAAAAGATGCGCTTCAATTGGAAGAGTGGTTTCACGGGCAAATTAGTCGGAAAGATTGTGAAGTCCTAGTTGTACGTGATGGGGACTTTCTAGTAAGGGAATCTCAGGGCTCTCCATGTCAGTATATTCTGACAGGAATGAGAAATGGACAACGAAAACATCTACTTTTAGTGGATCCTGAAGGGATTGTAAGTATAATAAGGCAAAAAATTAACACAATTATGTTTTGCATATGAACTGACAGAAAATAATTCACCTCCATTTTAATTTTAAGAATTTAAGTTAATTGTGTTTTGCTGTGATTCACATCCTCTAATGGCAAAAACAAAATCCACTAGCCAAACTGAGAGACCATTAAAAAATACAATACAATCCTTAATCATTAAAGTTAACTAAAAAGAAATTTATCAATTAAATCTATCGTAACCTCCTAGGTTACATTTCAAAGATACCATAAATGCTAAACATAAAGTATATCTACTTTTTATTTTAAATAAAGCCATTACTGAAATGTTTCATTGGGTACTCTCAATTTTCTAAGTAATTAGTGGCTTGAAAACAAAAACCACTGTAAATCATGTACAAAGTTGCATACACGAACTTTGTATTCTGTATTAAAAGGTTTGTCCTTTTCATGCTCCATAGGTGTTTCTAAGTGTTTAAAAGATTTGGGACTTTTGCCCATAGGCACAGGAATCAGCGTTTTGGTATTATGTTGATCACGTTTTTCTATTCTGATTTTTCAAGACAGCAGTGGGGGAATTGGGGTACTGTCAAATAGAATTGGGACACTGGCTCAGTGTGCCAGTGTCTATCAATGCCTCTGGCATGATCAAAATATCAGTGCTTCATGTTATCTGCTATGACAGGAGAAGCATTCAAAAATTTTCTAAGCAACAGTTATCTTGTGGTATAGGATCTGATTTTGTGATCTGCAGTTGGAGGCAACACATGACATCTACATGGCCCATATCCTTTCATATTTTATACAAAACAAATTGTTGCATACAAATTTCCTGTAATAATCAACATAATCTATCATTCAAAATCCAAAGATACCTTAGAGTACTCTACTCTTATTGTAATTCAGGTTGTGTGTTGACTGTCTGCAAACTCTTCCCACAGTTTTGGAGCTAGTAAGACCAAACATGGCATATCTTTAACTATATGACATATCCCTCATACCAATGGGGCTTAAAATGCATCCAGAAGGTCACTCAGGCATGATAGGGGTCTAGAAGTTTTTAAAATTGATGAGCCCAAATCTAACATCAGATTTTGTATTACTGCTCCCTCCCTCGCCATTTAGTGAAATTAAAATTTTTTTGTGTGATTTTGTATACGCAATATGTTGCTTGTTTCCAGATTTATTTTGATTCATGTAATCACTTGTTTTTCATTCAAATAACTTACCTAGTTCTTTACTCTTGTTCTGTTTTTGTAATTACTATGTTTGGTTCATATGCCTCCTTCTCTTTGAAGGAAATTCAAAAACTGAAGTCCAAAAATTGTAAAGACACCTTTAGCCCTTCAGATATTTATAATTTGGTGTTACTTCACATAAAAATGGTGCTCTTGGCTAGTGACGTCTTTCATTAATATTGTAAGGGGTAAAGAATAGAAGACTAAGTCATAGTTGATGATCTTGTACATATAACTATCTTATCTTATTTTTAACTATTCTTCATTTCTTATTGATCTGCAGTGTAGTTTTCTCTTATTAAGACTTATGAAATTATAAGAAAATTTCAGTGAATGATATTTCTCAATTCCAGGTAAGAACGAAGGACAGGTCCTTTGAGAGCATTAGCCACTTGATTAATTATCATCATGATAACAGCTTTCCAATAATTTTTGCAGAGTGTACTCTTTTCTTGAAAACTTCTATTTCCAGAACAAAGCCTGTTTGTTGAAATGGCCATTTCTTGACATTCAAGAAGTTATTGTGTGGTCTACCTAAATATGAACCAATCAAAGTTTTAACAATACTGAGAGCATAATTAAGTTTTAAAGTTTAATGAACAGTCAGCTAAACAGCCAAGTTTGGTGATGTTAATAAAGACGTTGTTTGTAAAGTATTGATATTTTATTTTGTTAAGTTGCCAAAAAATCTAGTTATAAAAGTATATTTAGGTAAAAGAGGTGTAGGTGTTAAAAAATAAAAACTATGTAGGGATAAATTATTTACAACTTTATGGATAATTATACTTCACAAATGTTTGTGTTTTTGATATGACAACACATAAAAAAGGCATGTAGAAAGACAGAGAATAAAATTAATACTTTGATTATTTGTTTATCTTTGAGATGCCACTGAAACTGTTGCCATGTAAGGAATTTGAAGGTTAAATTACTATTGTTCATAAAATAGAGCCACAGTTTCTTTGTAAATTTTTTACATGTTGTCTAAAATTGTAGTTATGCTATGCCAATGAATTGCACTAAGATGTTAAAAAACTTATTTGAACCATTGCTTTTTTAAAAGGAGTGTTAATAGATAAATTGTACTTGTTTTTTTTATCATAAGATTTTTGCTAACTATGTTAGTCATATGATGTCAAGGGTTTCCAATCCTAGATGATAATTTACCACAAAATTCAGACTTCATGCTAGGAAGAGATATGTTTAAGAAAAGACAGAAAGAAATTGTTAACTAAACTTTGAACTCTTTTTTTTTTACAAAGTATTTTAGTAAATAAGTTGGAAAATTGTATAGAACTTATGCCTAGTTAGGATGAGATATATCACATATAATCAAGTGTTGGATTTTTTACTATAATGTACATTCCTTGGTCATCATAAGCCCCACCCATACCCCATAGCTGTGATGTTGTTTAAATTCCCCTTGAATTTGTTGATTTTATTTAAGCATACATGAAGAAGCCAGTTATCACAGACGTTTTGATTTTTTTTCTACCAAACTCTTAAAAATAAGGAATGCAGTGGTGTTATTAAATTCATTTTGAATCCTTCCTATATTAGTTATCAATGTTTTAAATTGAGGGCAAGTATTTTAGAAATTACTTTCTACTACATGATAAGTTGAAGTTTGCAAAGCACAATTCCTATTTTGTTAATTCTTTTAAAATACTTAATACTCATCATTTGACTTTACAAAGGTCTTATCTGAAAAAATATGTATGATGATGGGCCTAACAATGCCTCTCGGTTGAATAATCAACATATTTTACTAAAACCATGTGTGTTAAAAATCTAGTTTAAGTTGTTTAATTTTCTGCAGATTATGAAATTCTCATGTATCTTAAGTTAAACAAGAACCTAAATTGTGTGCCACATTTAGTAAAAATATATTAGGATTATTATATTTTCATTCAAGCACCAGTTAGTTCTTCACACCTTAAGAGTTGAGCAAAATCAAACTACAAATTACAGCTAATCAGATATTAGGTGTTTAGATAGATACAGTAAATTATTCCAATATGTTTGGTTTTCTTTCTTATGCAGCTGACAATTTGTAGTAAATGAAAGACTGGAACAGATTAGAGCATTTTATGCACAAGTTTTATGCCATACACTGTTGTTCCTGCATTCAGGGTTTAAAAAAAATTATGATCATTCGCTCAAATGAAAGAATTTCTTCCCTTATGAATGTTAATTTATGATAAAATTGATAATTTTTTTTTCATATATTTCAGTATGTGCAATATGTTTTGAAACTTTTTAAGTTAAATAATAAATCATTTTCAAGTGTGAACTTTGTGAAAAACAGATAAAAAGTGGCATAATTTTGGTTAGTATTCAAACCATAAGTTGCATCATGATAACATCTGAAAGGAAATTTACTATTTATTTTGGTGTATACTTTTTATGTAATATGTAATTTTTTGTTCCTTCTTATTCTAATGTAATAACACCAGTAAAGTTAAAAACATACAGTTCAATGAATGTGCATTGTTTCAAAATGTTGCTAATGTTTAGCAGTTTTTTTATTGGTTTATTGTTTTTTATTTGCTAATAATAAAAGTTCAAGAAGTAATAGTAATT